AACCTGGGGCCTTGGTGTTATCAGCACCGCACTCTACCGAGTGAGCCACGGGCCGGCCCATATGTGGGGTTTTGACTGCATAGGGGGTCGGTGTCCCTAATCCCTGCATTCTGTAAGGGCCAGCTGTATGTATAAGATGATACACTGCAGGGCTGTTTATAACAGGAAAGAGTGGACATTCCCTAAATGCTCATTACCTGTGGCCTGTTTAAATAAACTCCGATACAGCTATGAAATGAAGTGCTATGCAGCTATCATTGTAATAACATGGAGCTATGGAATGATTACCAAGATATTTAGTTAAGTAAAAAATGCAAAATGCCAAACCGTATGGGAGTTGTATACAAAGAAAAGGGAAGGATTATATCATAATTATAGGGAGGCTAGCTAACATTTAAATTGTGGTTGTTTTGTGTCAAGCACTGTTTGGAGAGCTTCACATATATTACTCATTTAAATCCTCGCATTGACCCTATGAGGCAGACACTACTACTATCCTCATTATACAGCTGAATAAACTAAGGTGCAGAGAGGAATTTTCCTAAGTTTACATGAACAGCTGATAAGTGGCGGAATCAGGATATAAACCCAGAATGCTGGCTCCAGCACCTGTTACCCTTAGTCACTGTGCTAACTTATCAGTACATCGTCTTATAAAAGATCAAAGATATCTGAATACATTGGCTGACTCCAAAGGGAAAGTAATTTTTTACTTTATACTCCTTTGTACCTTTTGAATTTTGAACGATCTGAATGTGTACCTATTTTTTGAATACACAAATTCACACAAATATGTGATGGATACTTCCCAGTTGTTGCCTTATTGGGAGAAGCAGTATACAGGAGAGGTTAAGAGCATGGGTTTTAGCATTCAACTGCTTGAATTTGAATCCCACCTTTAATATTTATTCCTGTTTGACCTTGGACATGTAAAATGTTTTAAAATGGTACCTATAGGGTTGTTGTACTGATTAAACAAGATAGTCATTGTAATGCACTTAGCACAGTGCCCAATAAATGGTTCATTCTACCTCCTACACTTCTCTGGAATCTACTCACTTCTCCCTATTTCCTCTGCCACCTCCCCTGGCTAAGGCGACCATCGTTCCTGCCAGTTTTAGCATCTCCAGTCTCTTCCCCCTCCCTTCTGTTTTCAGCACAGCCGTCAGAGCATCTATTTAAAATGCAAAGTTAACTATGTCACTACCCTACTCAAATCCCTCCCATGGCTCCCTGCTGCTGTTAGTCAAAATCCCAGAGTTTAGGGGCTGGCGTTCAAGGCTCTGCATGAACTGGCCTTAGGTGGCCTCTCCCACCTCATTCCTCAACAGTGTCCATTCATTCTCCATGCCCTGTCCATGACTTGCTGTTCCCACCATACACCAGCCCAGCCACTTCAAGCCTTTGTTTCAAGGCCTCATGTAGCTCTATGTTCTCTGTCCTAGTCTCCAATTCTGGCTTCCCCCAAATTTTGGTCTTGGCTTGATTCACACAAATTATGCCACTTGGAAACTCCCGACCTGAGAGCTAGGAGGAGACCCTAGTCAGACCCTCCCCAGTGGTAGCTCCGTCTCGCTCCACTCCCAACACTGCCTCCAATTCCTTTGGAGTTCGGCTGACTCCCACTTCAGATGAGCCCTATCACATGTCTAAGCCAGTTCAGTTTTCCCTGAGGGGAAACCCAGACCAGTGCCTGGCACAGAGTAAATGCCTGACAAGCCTTCACTGAATGAATGAGACTACAAAGTTTAGGTGACTAATGGCAGGGCAAGAAGCCGAAAGAGGAGATCTGGGATCTGTGTAGGAGGAGAGTGGGTCACTCTTAAGTGGTCTTGGGAAAGCCAGCTGGGCCCTGAGTGGGTTCTCCCAGGGCTGGGAGCCCCACCCTTTGCCATCACTTATGCCTTCTACCAATGGATTTAGTTTTCTTTTTTCTTTCTCAGGCAGAAGATGGGAGGTGGGGGACAGGGTGATCCCAATTTAGCCTCCCTGAAATTCCTGATGCTGTCAGAGGCCCCCTCTGCCTAAGATATATCACATACCAGGCCGATTCCTACCTCCAGGCCTTTCCACTGGTGGGACTCTCCTCTCGGTCTCCTTATCCTTTCCTTCTCACCTGTCTGTACTTTCTCAGTCTGACTTAGCTGATCCCTTGTGGAATCTCTGCTTTACCCCCTCTCCTCATCCAAGCACCCCTCACATCCTCTCACTACCCTTTCTTCCATCTCTGTCCAGTGCCCTTCCCCTCCCCCTCCACCTGTACTCTATCTCCAGCTTTTTTGGGCTGCTTTTTCTTCCTCCTGCTTCTCCTCCCTCCTTCCCTGACGCTGAATAATCAGGCCTGGCTGTCCTGATTTCTGTAAATACCCGTGTGTGGGCAGTGGCTCAGGGCTGGAACGGGATGGATGGATGGATGGGGGTTACTGGGCAGCCCCAGGTCCCCAATGCAAAGACACCACAATCCAGGGGTGTGGCCCACAACCGTCTCCCTCTGGGGAGGGGAGGACAGGAGGTTTATTGAGCAATGGGGGAGGGGTGGGAATTCAAAGGGCATGGATGCAGGCCATCTCGTCTCCCAGGTCCTCCTCATCGAAGCGGGAGAGGATGGATTCCTCATCACTATAGAGTGAGCTGGTCCCCTGTGCCAGCAGGTCACTGGCAGCACTGTCCATCTCATCCAGCGTCAGGCGACAAGCATCCGCAATCTCCTGCTTGGCCAGGGCCACAAAGCGCGGGTCTCGGGCAAAGAGGCCCAAGCCCTCAGAGATGAGCACCTGCGGGCAGAGGTGGGATCAGTGTTGACGAAGGGTACAGGGTGCACAGAAGGGTCAGTGTGGATAAACGAAGTGACAATGAGGGCGTGCAGGGAAGTCAGTGGGGGACAGTGGTGCATACATTGTGCTGAGCAGAGGTCACAGAGCAAAGAGATATCTACATGCACAACACAGAGCCTCGGGACCGCTTTTCCTGCCTCCCCCCAGCTCCCACCTCCTCCCCTTCTCCCCCATCCTTTTTGCCTATACTCCTTCTGGACTTACAGCCTCCACTAAGCTGTCGGCACTGCCCCTCTTGCCATGGCTGGGGTCCGAGTGGGTTCCAGGCACGTGCAGACAGGTGAAGGTGCGCAGTGGACCGCTAGATTTGCTGAGGTATCCCTCCCCTGCTGCACCTTCCTCCACCAACAGCAGTGGGGCGTAGAGGAGCCGACCCCGCTGAGGAGGGGTTGCCCAGGAACCCTGAGTCAGAATGAACACCAGAGGGGCAGGGATTGAGGGGTGGGCTGTGAGGGTCTAGGACTCACTCCTGTGCCTACCCCTTTCCCCCAACATACAACTGGAGTCAAACCAAATGTACGTAAAGCAGACTTGAGTTTCTGTAAGAGCACAGAAGGCCTGGGTTTAAATGTCAGCTCTGCCACTGACTAGCTGTGTAACCTTGGGTAAACCTCTCTGAACCTCAGTTTTCTTATCTGTATACTGGGGATCATAATAGTACCCACCTCGCAAGTACAGTGAGGATTGTGTGCCTTCGATCCTATGTGTTCCGTTCTTCAGAACGGCCTGACATGTTTGATAAATTCAGCCTAGGCTGCCCCCACCCCTCCAGACCCCAGCACCTCTCCCTCTCCTCACCTGAGCCCTGCTGGGCCCTGAGTTTCGCCCACGGTGATAGGTGCCTGGGATGGGTAAATCTTCACAACTGCCCTGGCGCTGCAGACACTGGATGGTGAAGGACGGCTTCCGACCTGGGGTGCGGGAACCAGGGGCAAAGAGCAATGTGAGAACCTCCCCAGCTCTCTGTCCTGCTGGTCCTCAGGGTGCTCCCAAAGCCCATCCCCACTCTCACCTGCAGGTGTGGGGGGCAGCAGACGGCGGCGTGGTGCATGCTGCCCATCTCTGTATCTCTGGGGTCTGTGAGGTGGCAAAAGGATCGGGCGCGGGGGTGTCTCTGGCTGCTCATCCAGGTAGGAGAGCCTGTGTGGGAGGGAGGGCTGGGGGTGAACCCAGGCCTGGGCAGGGGAGATGGGGTACCTACAGTCCTGCCCTCCCACACATGGCTTGTGGGCTCATCCTATGTGGCAGTGCCAGTGTACCGGTTGGGGACTTCTTCCTCATCCTGATTGTCTTGCTCTTTGGCTTCCTTGGACTGAGGACTTCCTTCTTCTGGGATGGTGAAAATGAGAACCCCAGAGTTTCTCCTGGGAAAGTGAGGCACATTAGGCAGACCAGATCCACTCAATATGTGGCCCTATCGTCCCATGCCCTACCCTTTACAGAAACACTGGGCTTTACAATTTTTTTTAATTGAGAAAAATTCAGATAACATAAAATTAACCATTAATAATTTTAAAGTGAATGTGAGGGGCTGGCCTGTGGCTCACTCGGGAGAGTGTGGAGCTGATAACACCAAGGCCCCGGGTTCGGATCCCATATAGGGATGGCCGGTTCGCTCACTGGCTGAGCGTGGTGCTGACAACACCAAGTCAAGGGTTAAGATCCCCTTACCGGTCATCTTTTAAAAAAATAAAATAAAATAAAATAAAGTGAATGTGAGCTTTCTTTCAATAGACGTTTATCTCATTAGAAGGACCCAAAGTTTAAACAAAAAAATCAAAATTGGCCCGTTGAAGATAAAGCTTCAACACAGGAACTGGGGCTGTGTTGGGGTTCTGTAAGAGCTAGGCACTTGACATGTGTTATGTCATTTCATCCTTTCATTGTACCCATGAAGTAAGTGCTATTATCAGCCCCCTATGCAGATGAGGAAACTGAGGATCACAGAAACTAAGTGACTAGTCCAAGGTCACTTAGGAAATGGCAGAGCCAGGATTTGAACTTAGACCTATTTTTCCACATCATGTGTTTTTTGCATTAAACCTTTGCAAAGATTTGTCAAGGTATTCCTCATAGGAAGATTTCTCATATGAAGATCTTATTACCCTCTATTCCCACCTGAGCCCTTCAAATCCCTCCATCCTTCCCAAATTTCCACTCAAATGTCCCTGGGCCCTCCTCCCATGTCCCATGAAGTACCCCCATCCAATGTCTAGTCCCCGCCTTCCCTCACCATCTCCCCTGGATGCTTGCCGATACCTGTGGGTATGGGATCCAGCCTGGGGCACGCTGGGTTGTCTGGAGTTGGGAGCCCCCCCATCATCATCACTGGGCCCAAGGGAGAGTGAATCTGGGAGCCTGTCTCCAACAGGAAGAGACACAGAAATCCTGGAGCTCCGGCGAGACTGGGGCTGGGAGCCCATCAGGGCCTGTGGAGCGTCATAGGACTGAATGTTGCATCCGTGTTGCAGTTAAGTCACTTGGTCATGCATGTGTCTCCCCCACTGATCCCCGAGCTCCCCAGGGGCTGAATCTGGGTCTTGCCCTCCAACAGCCCATGGTAGGTACTAAATAAATATTTTTTCTATTGAGAGGAGGCTTCTCCCCAGAGGCAGTGTCAAAGTCACTCAGGAGATTGAGGGAGTATTTTTACAATCAAGAATTCCTTGACTGTAAAGTGAAAACTTGTTGTCCTCACTTTGTTTGTTTCTGGGTCCTTCTCATCTTCCTCTTCTCCTTCCTGCCCCTCTTCCTCCTCCTCCTCTGTGTCACAGGTAAGGGCCTGCCGAATCTCAGGACCCAAGTCCTGTAGGCTCCTCAGACCAGCCTGTGGGGGTGGAAAAATAGGGAATTGGGCAGCTCAGGGTCTACACTTCCCCTCCAGGAGCCTGCTTCCCATGCAGGGGTGTGGGGTGGGGGAAGGAGCCTCTCAGCCACCCCGATCCTTTGTGTGGACTGGGGCCTCAGTTTCCTCATCTGTCACATGGGTTTCATGAGATCAGGATGGAGGTCAGCCTCAGCCACAATGATTCCATACACGTCCGCCCACACTAGACCCTGAAGACCTGAAGGGCAGAGGAGGTGCTTGGTGGTGCCTCAGTTCCTAGTAGCCCCTTTTCTTTCCTTCGCCGGAATTTGCGGAAATAATCCTGGATCAGAAATGTGGCGTAGAATTTGCCCACAGTGACCTCTTCCTCTGGGGGCAAGGAGAGAAGGCAAAGTTATGGAGGGGTCTTCTATCCTGCCCCCACTTCCCCACCTTTATAGTCAGCAGCATGGACTCCCCCTCACACCCTGAGCCAGTGCTGGTTTTGTGGTTGAGAGCAGTCATCTGACATTCAGGAGCTGGCTCAAGGAATTGGGGTGGGATAGCTCACCATCCGGAGGGGGGATGACCTCATCTAGCAGCTTCTGCTTCATCCGCTTCCAGATCTTTTTGATGACAATCCGCAGCTCCTGGTTGGCTTGCTCCAGGTTCCCTGCATTGGGGGAAAATGCAGGCATGAGCCAATAGGAAGAACCTTCACAGCTGCCCCTCACAGGTGGAGGGAGGCATCATAAGCATCTACTGTAGCCACACACCACCCCCATTGGATGGGGGAAAACAGGCCTGGAGAAGCCAAAGTCACCCATTTTGAGGTTCCAAGCTAGCAGTGGGGCCCAACACTCTGAGTTTTCTCCCTGCACCTTCCCCAGGAACCCTCCCACTCCTGCCCCCTCCCCCACCTTCTGTCTTGATCTTCAGGGATGTCCGGACCAAGGCAAAGAGTGTGGCATTGAATGTCACCGTCCCATCTGAGTTGAGGGGCATGTTCATAGCCACAAGTCTCTGCGAACAACAGAGGCATAGAACCCACTCTTGGAAAATGCCAGGTATGCATGCAAGCATGCCCAGGGGCAGAAACTTTTGAAGATATGACCAAACACCCCTCCCCACCCGGGGCTGATCCCTGCGCACCCCTGCCATGTGCTGGACAGCCTTCTCAGAGGCCTGGGGAGGTGGGCAGGTGCACAGACCTTGCAGGCTACTCGGTGTGGGCACAGCTTCCCAAATCCCAGGGGAGGCTGGATGCGTCTGAGCAGGGTTACCACATCCAGGTGCTTGATACGGCCCCTGAGGCAGTTGGGGAGACACCACTGGATTGGCAATATCCCCTCTAGCCCTTTCCAAGGCCCCACCAACTCATCACTACTTCCCCCCACCAACACCCCAGAGGCTGCCAGGGAAGAACCAGAAGGCAGCTGGAGAGGGCAGTGGAAATCTTGGGGTAATGGGATGTATAGATCAGAGGTTCTGTGGCTAGGGGACTGTGTAGGGCAGTGCATTGTCCTCTGGGATTCCAGGTAAGAGGTTAGAGGCATACTTGGCCCCAGGGTCATATTCAGACCAGATCCTCTTGAATTCATCGAGGTGATGGGGACCCAGGATGGACCAATCTCTGGTTAGATAATCAAAGTTGTCCATGATCACAGCCACAAAGAGATTTATGATCTGTGGACCGGTAAGTTGAAGAGGTTAGGTGAAGGGTAGAGCAGGGTCGTGAGGGCTTGGTGGGAGGCTGGGGTGAACGTATATGGTCACTTGGTCATGAGTCCCTGGGTTGATCTTGTCAGGCCAGCCCTTTTACTCACTCTGAAGATCTGGGCTGCCCACCTCACTTGGTCACCCCTGGGCCCCTTGGGGCCAGCCCCCATGGCAGTAGTGTTGGTTGTGAGGAAATGATCCTTACCAGGAAGGCACAAAGCATGAAGAAGCTGATAAAATAGGCGATGGCAAAATTGCTGCCACAGGTAAACTCCTCGCCAGGGCCGAAGTCAGACTCAGGGTCACACCGATTCCCAGGAAGGCTGGCAAGCATTATCTCCTGCCATGCCTCACCGGTGGCACACCTATGAGGATCACACAAAGGTGGCATCCTGAAAGGGAGGCTATGAGGTCATGGCAAGTGCAGTTATGGGGGGCTGGGGGAGTACAGAGATGACCCACTTCTCACCAGGGACTATATCTAGCATAGATTGCATTTCAATATTTTAGCAGCTAGTGTGGCCATGTTGATGACAGTCATGTTCACATATTACAGATAGAGCACTGAGGCCTAAGAAGGGGATGCATCCTACAGCCAGAAAGACAATGGCCAAGACTAGAATATTCTAACAGATTCTAATCAAAGCCAGAAAGGGTCTTGGGCCATATGGAGCCCTATGCTGTCCTGCTATTTCCATAGTTCAGGCAGTCTGGGGCCCAGAGAGGGTGTGTGGGCACCCACAGGCATGCTGGAAACCAAGGTGGCAGGGGAATGGGTCAATGTTACCTGAACAGAAGCAGCACGGCCTGTGGAAAGGTCTGGAAGTTGTTGTTTCGGTTGATCTGTGTGCCATCCTGAAGAGCCACCTTGCCAAACATCTGTGGGCATGCAGGGCTGTGTCAGTGGGGTAAATCCATGCCCTTACATGCTCCCATCCATTTCACACCTTCTAATACCTAAAGGATCCTTGAAACCCTGACAAGCAGGCACGGCTGATCCTGTTAAACAGATGTGCAGACTAACCCAGCTTGTCTGTCTCTCTTTCTACCCACCATCCCAACTTTGGGGCTATTCCTACAGACATCCCCAACAGCAGAGGGGTGCCTGAGGGATACTCCTGAGGGTCCTCACTTGCCTGCATGCCAATGACTGCGTAGATGAAGAATATCATTGCGATGAGAAGAGCCACATAGGGCAAGGCCTGCGGGGATGGGGATGCAGGGGGGGCAGGATGGTAGATGCTCAGGTCCAGGCAGAGAACCATAAGACCCAGAATGTACCACTCCCATTGGTCTGGGCCTGCTAGGAGATATAGTCCATCCCCTAAGTGCTCAGGACTACCAGTGTCTCCCAGATGTGGATGTGTTATTAAATAGAATAGAGTAACGTCAATGAGGCCAGAGGCATGGTGGGAATTGAGAACCCAGAAAAAAGAGAAAGCTGGAAATGGCAAGGTGGAAGTGGGAGCTGTAGTTCTGGGTGTGGTAAAGGGGAAGGCTGAGAGGTGTGAAGTGGGGATGAGATGTAGTCAAAGGGATGGGGTGGGGAATTACCTGGAAGGACTTGATGAATGTCCAGAGCAATGTGCGGATCCCTTCACCCTTACTGAGAAGTTTGACCAGTCGCATGACTCGGAAGAGGCGGAAGAAGGTGATAGAAATGCGGGAGCTGTCCTCAGAGCTCTGGGGTTAGGGGTGCAGTGGATGCTCCATTTACATTTGCTCCAGCCACCTCCCTGTCTCATGTCTTGGCCCTCCCAACCCCCAAATGCCTCAGAACTCAGGCCCCAGGGTGGCCAGGGAGCATTTCTAAAGACTCTTGGGAAAAAAGGGAGGAAGGGAAGATGGGTGGGAAAAGAAGCAGAGTAAAGGAGAAGGGAGGTTACCTCGCCCAGGTGGCCACCATTCTGGAGGGAGATATAGATAAGACAGAGGTGATAGAGGAGATGATGAGATCACGGGCCCAAATGAGGGATGAAATGACGGAGTAGATATAGGGGATGATGGTATGGTCAATATGCAGGGGACAATGGGGAAGGTTATGTGGTAGTGGATCAAGATGGTTGTGGAAAAAGGTGGTAATGTGCGTGGAAGGGAGAGGAGAGGGTAAAGGAGATGGTGGAAGAGAGACGGAGCCAATGGAGGAAATGATGGAGTCAGTGGTGTCGTGGAGATGAAACAACCGATGGAGGACTCAATGGAGGAGCCAGTGATGGAGATACAAAACCAGTAGCATTGTCAGTCGAGGTGATAAAGCCATGTAGTACCCAATGGAGGAGATGATGGAGCCAGTGTTATAGTCAGTGGTGATGACAGAGCCATGAAAGAGCCAGTGTTGGAGACGGTGGAGTTGGTGGAGGAAATGGAGCCAATGAAGTAGTCCGAAGAGGTGATGGAGCCAAAGGAGGGGGATGTAGAGGCAATGAAAGAGATAACAGAAATAACATAGAGTCATTTTAGGAGATGTTGGAGCCAGTGGATAGGTTGCAAAATGGAATAAGGGAGCTGATGGGGGGGATTTTGGCTGAGCCCAACTCAGAATAGATAGAGCTAGAATAAGGAGCACTGAGTCTCCAGGAGTGGGGAGGATGTGAGTGGGAGCCATCTACCCATGTGAAAGAGAGTCCTGGGATAGGGGTGGGGGAAGGTGTGTAGGGGGAGAGGGTTAATGGAGAGGTCAGTCCTCACATTGACTTCAGTGACGGCAATGTCCACTACGCTGCCCACCACGATAAGGGCATCAAACGTGTTCCAGGCATCGACAAAGTAATGCTGTAGGCAGGAGGAAAGCAGTATCTTGTCTTCTCCGAGCTAGCACACCAGGGTAGGGAGCCAGTGGTGGTAGGGGCATTGGGGAGGCAGGGCCTGGCTTGGACCACACGATGGGCCCACGCCTGGATCCCTCTCACTCCCTAGTCTCATGACTCCCTTGTTGCTGCCCCCTGAGAGCTCTGCAATGTGCTCCACCCCCAAGGAATTCACCCACCGGGGGTCGATCTAGGGCTGGGGGGCACCTTGGGTTTGAAGGCGATGATTTTGAGCACCATCTCAATGGTGAAGAGGCCAGTAAAGACCATGTTGAGGATGTCCATGGCATAGTTGAAGGGAGCAGTCTGCTCATAGTGCTGGGGGAGAAAATCCGGTGGGGACAGAGCCTGAGGCAGAGACCCCCCCCATCCCCAACCGAATATTCCCTGGCCTGGGCTGAGATGAATCTGGGGACATGGTAACACTACGGGTTGGCTTCCCATTACAGATTCTGGAAAGCCCAGTTCTTGATTTCTAGCTTTTTTTGCAGCTAGGCAAGGCCAGTTCTGCCTAATGAGACATAAACGTATCTCTGCTGCTGGTTGGAAGCTTCTGTGAAAAATATATATATTTTTCCTTTTTGTCTTTTTTCGTGACCGGTAACGGGATCGCAACCCTTGGTGTCGCGCCCGCACCGCGCTCAACCAGTGAGCGGACCGGTCTCTATATGGGATCCAAACCCTCGGCAGGTGCGCCGCCACACTCCCAAGTGCCGCACTCTACCGAGTGCGCCACTGGGCCGGCCCTGTGAAAAATATTTTGCTTTCCAATAAAAGGCTCAAATGAGGAGAGCAACCTGGTGCAACTCTCCTTCCTTTTTCCTGCCTTGAACATGGTTTCGATGCTTGGAACTGCAGCAGGCTTCAAGGTCTTGTGACCATGAAGCAACAACCATGAGAATGAGAGCCAACTTGCTAAGAATGGTGAAGCAGAAAGACAGGCAGAGCCTGTGTCCTGGATGAGCAATGAGTGAACAGCCTACCTCTGCACTTCTCCTTATGTAAGGTAATTACCACATTTCACTGACTCCAGGATGCACATCTTTTCACATTTTATAATCTCTGAAATTGGGATGCATTTTACAATCAATGGCAACTTACAATGGCCCACTGACCATTTGGTGTTTTTTTATTTTTTGTTTGTTTTCTTTTTTATTTTAGTGTTTAATTCATTTGGAATTTATTGTGAGATGAAAATCTCCCAGTGACCATTTTTTTTCACATTCTTACATCTCTGTTTTCTTTTGATGGCTGGCCAGTAAGGGGACCTGAACCCTTGACCTTGGTGTTGCTATAACACTGCACTCTAACCAACTGAGCTAACTTGCCAGTCTACATTCTTGCATCTCTGAAATTGGGATGCAATTTACAATTATTGGCCTTAGATTTGAAGTAATGTGATGAATGTATTTATAGCTTAAGTCTCTGTCAGTTTTGTTACTGTGTAGAGAGAATAGGGTCAGGGTGGAGAGCTCAGACCTGCATGGCTAGGGCAACCGTGTTGAGCAGGATGAGCAGGAACATGAGGTACTCGAAGGCAGCAGAGTTCACAGTGGCCCACACGCGATACTGATGCGGGTTCTTGGGGATGTAACGGCGGAGTGGCTGGGCCTTGAGGGCGTACTCCACACACTGGCGCTGCAAATCAGTGCAAGGCATGAGTGAGTAGTGGGATCCCAAGGCAAAGGGGCAGGGGTTGCTGGCCATGGGTAGGGAGTCAGGGGTCTGAGGTCACCTGGTTCTTGTCCAGCTCACAGTTTTGGTACTCCTGCTCGCCCTGGGCACGGAAGGTGATGATCACAAAGCCCACAAAGATGTTCATCATGAAGAATGCAATGATGATGATGTAGACAATGAAAAACACTGAGATCTCCACATGGTAATTATAGATGGGGCCTTTGTCCTCTGCATGTGCATCAATGGCCTTGTATAGCAGCCTATGGGAGCCAGTGGTGGGTAGAGGTGGGGGCAGGTGAGGGGATGTCCCAGCCCCCTTAGACCTGCCGCAACACCACTTATCACAGACACCCTAGAATCTCCTGCCTGGCACCCCAAGACCCCTAAATCCTCTGACCCTAAATCACCTGAGACCTCCATGCGTACTCCAGAAAACTCCCACCAAACCCTCAAGGAATCCAAAATCCCCTGTCCCAGAGACCCAGGACCCCCATTTAACAGTCCAGAGAATCCCCATCCAGGCCATCAAAGACCCTAAAATCCCGAGTTCCCACAGATCTCTATATCCTCTTCTCCAGCCATCTGGAGACCACCATGCAGTTCCCTGGGACTCCTCCACAATCCCCCAAAGGTCTCTAAATCTGCCATCCCATCAACTTGAATCCCCTGCTCCTTCCCTCTACACATCTTCAGCTAGTACCCCAAAGACTTGCACAGCTCTCTGGAAACCTTGAATCCTCTGTGCCATCTCCTCAGAGATTCCTCTACCCATCTCCCCATACCTCCACCCAGTCCTGGCTAAACCCTACCCAGTCCTCTCTAGGCTTCCACTTAGTCTCTCAAAGACCTCTACCCAATTCCTAGAGACACCTTGCCCAAGTTGCAAAAGAACCCCCAGCCAGCTTCTGGGAGGCCCCCACCCAGTCCTCTGATACACCCATCAGTCTCCAGAAAACTCTATTCAGTCTCAAGATTTCATCACATCTCCAACGTACACTCCCACCGACTACCAGGACCTCCCAACCCAGTCCCCTAGAGACCCCCTGCTCAGCCCCCTGCCATCCCTGGGGCCCTGCCCCTCACGCAGGCCAGCCTTCGAAGGTGGAGACAGTGAACAGGGCCATCATGGCTGAAAGGACATTGTCAAAGTTGAAATCACTGTTGACCCAGAGCCGCTCCCGGACCAGGGGCCGTGACACATCTCCATCAGGGTAGACCAGGAAGGAGCCCCTGTGGATATTGCAGATGAGCCAGGTGGGTGAGGAGGGGTGTGGAACTGTGGAAAAGGGTCTGGGGTCTCCAGCATGGAGGCAGCAGGGCACAGTAGTGGAGCTTGTGAGATGCTCATGGGCACTCTTTTTATCCCCATTATTCAGTCGAGTGAAAGGGGACACAGTAAGGTTGAGAAATGTACCTGTCTCATGAAGTGGATTTGAACCAGGAATGTCCAACTTCACAGCCCATGCTTTTAACCACAACCCTCCACAGGAGTCTCAAGATGGAAGCCATGGACTTGGGGTGGGGGCAGAAATTACTGGGGAGGCCTAGAGTGGAATGTGGCTAATTCTGGGGAATGTGGAGAGGGGTTTTGGGGGACTCTGAGGGCTTGGTGAGATCTGAGGGCCTCTGCAGTTCTTGGGAGAGTTCTGAGGGTGTATCTTGGGACCTTGGGGAGTTCTGGGGGATCTTGGGGGACTTGAGGAAATCTGGGTGTCTCTGCAATTCTTGGGAGGAAGCTCTAGGAGTTTTAGGGGCCTTGGTGAGATCTAGTGGCCTCTACTGCCTTTGGGAGAGGTCCTGGGTTCCACTGAGGGTGGGTCTTGGGCACTTACTTGCATTCTTGGGGGGTGTGTTTGGCCTCGTCAGTGCAACTGTAGAACTTCCCCTGTAGGGAGGACATCTGTCAAGTAGGTTCACCCTTCACCGCCCACCTTGACCCCTGCCTGGGCTTCCATACAGTGTTTCCCCCACCTTGAATAGCTGTACGCCGATGCAAGCGAACATGAATTGCAGGAGTGTGGTGACAATCATGATGTTCCCGATGGTCCGGATGGCCACGAACACGCACTGCACCACATGCTGCAGGCACCCATCCATATGGCTTATGGACTCCACAAGCCACAGTGGCCCCAGGGCAGGGAATCTGGTCATGGATGTGGCTCAGGGACTTGGGCCAGGGACATGTGGTCACGGGTCAGGGATGTGTGGTCAGGGATATATGGTCAAAAGGCAGTGTTGTCGGCTGGTGACGTGTGGGCACCAGCCAGGAATAAGTGTCTGCCAGGCAGGAATATGTGGCCACACGCCAGAGACTTGGGTCAGAGAAATGTGGCCACTGGTAAGGAATGTATAGTCACTTGTAAGGAACATGGGTCAGGCTATATGGCCAGTGGTCAGGGATGTGTGTTCACAAATTGGGTCCAGGCGTGTGGTCGTGGATCAGTGCAAATGGTCAGTTTTATCAGTGACCCTGGCCCCAGGGACACTGTGGGTTTGGGTGAACTGGGGTTACCTTGAGTCCCTTTGCCCTGTTGATGGCTCGGAGGGGCCTCAGTACTCGAAGTACTCGCAGAATCTTCACAACGGAGATGGCGCTGGAGCTGGGGAGGGGGTAGTCCTCAGGCCCTGGCCCAGGCCTGGCCCTGGCTGTGAGAAGAATGGGATGGGCTCGGCGGGGGGTGGGTGGAAGGGACTCACTGGATGCCGAAGGAGATGAGGGACACGCTGACCACCAGCAGATCCAACAGATTGAACCAGCTACGGCAGAAGGAGCCACGGTGCAGGAAGGCCCCAAACACCGTCATCTGGGGACAGGAGGACATCAGCCTAGACCCAGACCTGGGGATGGTTGAGGGGAAGAGGGGGTGGGGATAGGAGAGGTGGACTGTGGGGGTGGGTGGGAAGCAGGGCCAGAGGCCAGCTGGGCCCATGGGGAGGTGGGCTGCGAGGTGGGCCGGAAGTGTGTTGGGACAACTGAGGGTATGATTGGGGGCCCATTAGTCACCTTTAGTAGAATCTCCACAGTGAAAATGGAGGTGAAGGCATAATCGAAGTACCCCAGGATCTGGGGGGCGAGAAAGAAGGGGACTGTAGGTGTGCGTGTGTGTACACGTGCGTGTGAACCTCTCTGTGTAAGTTGTGCTGTCCCTCCCCCCTCTTCCCCTCCCTCTCATCATCAGCAAGGACTTCTCTATAAGCCCAAAGCCTTGGCCGTCAGAAAGACTAGGCTCAGATTTGGGCTCCTCTGCCTCTACCCAGCCACAGAGGTGCCCTCAGCCTGCTTAACCTCTCTGAGCACAGACAGCTTCCTTCTCACTCAAACTCTGACCCCCTCCCTGGTGCTTCCCCAAGCATGCTGCACACACAGTAAAGGCTGGCACTGCAGTAGCTGCCATTATCAATCCTCTCTTGACACAACTAGGTGTCTTCTCCTTGTCTACACTCTGGTCCAGACAGGCTTGTGCCCAGTAGGACACCCCTGGGAGTGTCCCCCCAGCCCCCAGCCCAAGACTCACGTGGTTGCGGAAGGAGTGGGCTCGGATGGGGTCCTCAGCGGCCAGGGACACACTGCTGAGGATGATGAACACCAGGATAAGATTGGTGAAGACGTGATGGTGGATGAGGGTGTGGCAGGCCTTCCTTAGCCTGGAGGGAGGGAGTGGGCTGTGGTCAGAACCTGGGACCACAGAATCGATCTGGGGAGCCCAGGGCATGCAGCTCTGTTCCTGTTGCAAAAGGCTGTGCCTCCACACCCCCCAGCCTTGGCTGCTCCATGGGCCCTCGACCTGCCCCAGCCCCACCTGCCCCAGTCCCTCCTGCCCTGGCCCCTGCCACTCCCAGAACTCACGGGTTGGTTTGACTGAGGCAGAAGAAGGCGCTGCCCTCAGGGATCGGCATCACCTTCTCCTTGGGTACTACTTCCTGCAGGAGTTCCACATGCCCTGCACCTCCTTCCTCCTCTTCATCTTCCTCCTCCTCCTCCTCCATGCCTGGCACCAGAAAAAGAGCAAAAGAGAAAAATAGTTGAGAAAATTGATGTAAAGCACCTAGAACAGTGCTTGTCACACAGCAAATTCTTCCCATTCCCCTGCTAGAATGTCAGCTTCTCAGGAAAGGGATTTTAGTCTGTTTTGTCCCCTGCTGTACCCCCAGCACTCGCAACAGTGCCAGCAACACAGCAGGAGCTCAGCAAATGTGTGTTGAATAAATGTTGAATATACACACTATTTTATAATAAAGGGTCTGAGAAGTTCTGCAGTAAAACAAAACATCTATTTCTCTTCTTTAACCTCAACTTTCTCAAATGCTGCTGACCATTCACCAAGCCCATTATTTTCAGAAAGATCTTGGAAAAGGCTGCTCCCCAGAGAGGAGGGTCTCAGGGGTCAGGAGCTGTCTGCCTGGGCTCTGTCCCCAAAGTCCCACACCTCCTCCATCTGACCATGCCCACTTGCCTGCTGCTTCACTCCTTGCACCCTCCTCTTCCTCATTCTCCCCACCAGGCACCTGGGAACAGGAAGATGGGGGTCGCTGATGGTGGGGGAGACACCGGGGATACACACAGGGGAGGCATGGAAGGGATGCAGTAACAGGGGAATGAATAGGCAGAGGACGGGGGATAAAGCCACACACACACATAGACAAGTGTTGGTTGTAGTGGGGGTGGGGGGTGTAGGCAGTGCCCAGGCTTATGACTCACCAACACTCCATTCTCTTGTGGGGGGGTCCCCTCACTGCTCTTCTCCCTGTGTGAGGAAACAGGGGGTGATTGCTGCAGATCGCAGTGGATGGGCAAGGCTGAGGAGGGTCACTGCAGTCAGAACAGACCTTTCTTGCATCCCACAGAACCTCCCTGCTTCCACCCTCATCTCCCACAGTCTGTTCTCACAGCAGCCAGAGGGAGCCTGTTAAGTCCTGTCTGGCACATCCATCCTCTGCTCACAACCCTTCCATGGCTCCCCGCACTCAGCATCAACCGAAGTCCTCATCCTGGCCCAGAATGCCCTCGATCTGGTCCCCCCATTTCCCCTCCCCCCGCCATCTGACCTCACTCCCTACCACTCTCTTCGCTCACTCCATTTTAGCCTCACTGGTGTTTTTTTTTTTTGAATGTGCTAAGAACATTACCACCTCAGGACCTTTGTACCTGCTGTTCCCTTGCCTTGAATACTCTTCCCCCAGATATGTGCATGGCACACTCCCTTGCTTCATTCAGCTCTCCATTCAAATGTCACTTCCTCATAGAGACCTTCCTTGACTACCCTAACCAAAACAGCAATCTTCATTTCTCTGTCCTTTCATTCTGCTTTCTTTTTCTTCATTATTACTAACATATACTTAATCATACTACATATTCATCTATTTGTGTTGTGCTTGGCTTCCCCAACTAGAATGTCAGTTCCACGAAGGCAAGGACTCTGTCTCCTCAGGATCTAGAACAGAACCTGGCACAAAGTAGGTGCTCAACAAATGTATGTTGAATGGCTGAGGACTGGCAGGATGTATCTGGAGGTGGGGATTGCCAGGAGGACTGGGAGGTTGTATCTGGAGGTGAGGATTGCCAGGGTGACTGGAAGTATCTCCGGTGGTGTGGGATGTGTGTGGAGTACCCAGTCAGGGATCCCAGGGAGAGGCTGCTTGGGGCAGAACCAGACCTCACCTGCCCTTATCCTTGGCAGTGCCTGCATCTCCACTGGCCAGGTTGTCCACAGCAATGGCAAGAAACACGTTCAATAGGATGTCTGCAGTGAGCTTAGGCTGCAAAGGATGGAGAAGCAAGCTGCCCCCTCCCCCCCGCCACCATCCAGACCCCCAAGACTCTGAGGATACAGTTGCCGCAGATGAAGAGGATGATGAAGTAAATGCACACCAGCATCCCTGGGAAGAAGGGGCCGCCATAGGCCATTATACCATCATACATGACTACGTTCCAGTCTTCGCCAGTCAGGATCTGGGGGAGGGAAATCACCAGGAAACTCTTGGGACCCTCTTCAACTCCAGGGTTCTCCGACCCACCCATCCCAGGGTCTCCAGGCCCCACCTGAAAGACAGTGAGGAGGGCCTGGGGGAAGGTGTCAAAGGTGCTTCGCTTGGTGTGGGTCTGGTCAAAGTTGAACTTGCCCCCAAACAGCTGCATGCCGAGCAAGGAGAAGATGATGATAAAGAGGAAGAGGAGAAGCAGCAACGATGCGATAGACTTCATTGAATTGAGCAGGGATGCCACCAGATTGCTCAGAGATGCCCAGTGTCTGTAGCCAAGACGAAAGGGCACAGGGTTGATGCTGTGTCCACTGGAGAGTCAAGAGCCAGGGCAGGACCCCAGCCTGGGTTGCACTGGGGCAGGCTGGGTTAAAATAGCCTTTGGTGTCATGGTTGAATGTGATTTTAGAGTTGAGGTGTGGTGAGAGTAAGAAGTGAGAGGAAAATTGGGTTTGGGGTTAGGCTTGGCATTAGGGGTGTAATGGGAGATGAGGTTAGGATGAGGTTTAGATAGAAATTGGTGAAGCTAAGGCCGGCCCGTGGCTCACTCGGGAGAGTGCGGTGCTGATAACACCAAGGCCACGGGTTCGGATCCTATATAGGGATGGCCGGTTTGCTCACTGGCTGAGCGTGGTGCTGACAACACCAAGCCAAGGGTTGAGATCCCCTTACCAGTCATCTTTAAAAAAAAAAAAAAAGAAAGAAAAAAAAGAAATTGGTGAAGCTAGAATTAGGTTTCAGGTTGGGACTGGGGTTGGGGATGGGGTTGTGGTTAGGAGTTGTGGAGTATTTGGGGCCGGAGATGGAGTTGGGGGTAAGGTTGTAGTTGAGGTTTGGGACAGAGGAGGGGATTGGGATGGGATTGGGGCTGGGGCTGGGAACAGAGTTGCAGTTGGAGATAGGGTGGCAGTTGGGAGTTAGGGATGTGAAAGTTGTATTTGGGGATTGAGGATGGTGTTATTGGTGGTTAGTGATGGGGCTGGGGCTGGGAGTTAGGGATGAGGTGGGAGATGGGGTTGGGCTTGGGTGTTGGTGTTGTAAATGGGCTTATGGATGATGTGTAGTTGGAGGTTGGGGTTAGAGATGGTGCTTTGGCTGGGGGTTGGGGATGAGTATGGAGTAGAGTTTGGAGACAGAGTTGGGGATAATGTTAGAGCAGGGGTTAAGGTTGAAGAAGGAGATGAAAATGGAGACTATACTCTTCCCAGTGGACTCTAAACTCCATGAAGGCAGGCACTTGTGTCTGCTTTGGTTCCTGATGTTTCCCCAGGGCCTGGAAAAGCTCCACAACGAGTGCAGTAGGCACTCAATGGATGTTTGCTAAATGGATTGTGATGCAGATGAAGTTCTCATTGGAGCTGGGGTGGGGGTTGTTGGGGCTAGGTTTGGGACCCCAGTGTTCCCCCTCCTCCCCACACACCTGGTGACCTTAAAGATCCTGAGGAGGCGCACACATCGCAGCACCGAGATGCCGAGGGGCTGCATGACACCCACTTCCACCAAGGTGGTCTCTAGGATGCCCCCACAGACTACGAAGCAGTCAAAGCGGTTGAAGAAGGAAGAGACATAGGCAGAGGGGCCCAGACCATACAACTTGAGAAGCATCTCCACCGTGAATAGACAGAGCAACACTTTGTTGGCGTACTCTGTGGGGAGAGGGGCAGGGGTAACTGGGCAGGCCATTTTCCGTGGTGACATGTGGGAACGTGGTGGGGTCCATGGGGTCTTCAGGGGTAGCTGATATCAAGCCATGCACAGGCTGGGAGTGGGGTTAATGTTAGGGAATTGGGTGAGTTTGTAGGTCAGAGTGGGTGAGGTTTTGAGGGGCCTGGAGCTGGGGCGAGGGGCAGAGATGGTGTGGGAGCCACAGTCAGCCTCTATATGTCTGGGAAGACTCCAGTTTAAGGGTCGAGTTAGAGTCTAGGGTTTAGTTGGGATTGGAGCTGGTTTGGGGGTTGGGGTTAGAAGTGTGCTTAGGGGGCTGGCTGGTTAGCTCAGTTGGTTAGAGCACGGTGTTATAACACCAAGGTCAAGGGTTCAGATCCATGTACTGCCAGCTGCCAAAAAAAAAAAAAAAAAAAATCTTGGGCATTTCAGCCAC